TGAGCCAAGATGGTGCCATTGCGCTCCAGCCTGGGAGATAGACTAAGACTCCATCTCAAAAAAAAAAAAAAAAAAAGCGTTAACATGGATTACTCACTTGTATAATAGCTTTGTGAATTAGATACTGTTATTATCATTTTACAGCTGAGAAAACTGATGCCCAACACCACATAACTAGTACCTGCTAGTGCCAGTCTTTGAACCCAGGCCAACTTAGGCACCTGCCTTCTTATTTCCACGATGTACTTTGCCGTGTGCTCAAAGCCCTTGGAACCGTCCTTGGCATTAGTATATGTCCAATAAATGGTGGCTGTGGTTATGACTCTTGTTTTATCTTGACTTTGGGGGTGCTTTGGCCAGAATTTCAAATCTATTCTGTATCTTTTAAGGCATGTAAATTTTGTAATTTTTGCTGTAAAGCTCTTAAATTTCCAGGATTAATTTCCTACATTTCTTCAAATGCTTAAATTGCAGGTGCAACTGCCAAAAGAACTGGCATAAGAGGCAACAGAGTCATCTAGAAGAACAAGAAACGGGGATAGTGGCTCTTGGATTATAGCATGGAGACTATGTCAGCAGCAATACTTTAGGATCCACGTGGGAGAACTGGGAACAATGCTACCGTCTGATAAGGGTATTTGTAAAAGGCAGAATGTTTGGGCCATGAAGAAGTAGGGGCTGAAGAGGAAGGTGGAAAGAGATACAATATAATATTCAGAGGCAATATTTTCTACTTGCAATCAATTTGAGTGACTTAGGTGAAATTTAGAGTCATGTTTCCAGAAGCAGAAGTTCAAAAAAAATTTAAACGTTTGCTTTATTATTGTTTTCTTCTGGTAAATAATAAACATAATAGAAGTGTTAACTATTGTATTCCCATTCTTTTCTCCTTCCATCTCTTCTGCTGTAATTCATCACATAGTATCTTAAAGGGAACAAATTATGTTTCATCCTATGGAAATGGGAAGGATGAATTGAGCTCCTGGCCCTTCTGATGCTTTGAAATGAAAGGATTGTTCCTTAGCGCTTCTCTGGAGAATCAGTGGAGATTTTCAGTTTCCCACCCTGCCTGGCTTTCTCGCTTAGCAACTCCCTTGGTGTTTTTGGAGTATTCTTTCTATAGGGGTACCTGTGAGGGGCAAAACACATAAGCCACAGAACCTAGTGAAAACTAAGTGTCACTAGGAAAAGTAACGGGAAAAGTAAACCCTGCATATATGAAAACTTCCTAGCAGCAAGTTTTCATATATAGAGAGACAATGGGAGACAGCATGCTGTTTTTATAGAAAAAAAGTTTCACATAATATAGTTATTGACAAGCTTTTGGTTTTGGCTAAATACACACACACACACACACATATGTTTGCTCTGTAAGTCTGATTTTATCACTCTCAAACATATTTTAAAGGAAACTTGCTTACAGGATTAAACTTGAACTACTTATTGTATTCTTTAAGGCACTCCATTGCCTGGCCCCAACTTACTAACCCTGCCTCATCTCCCACAAATCCTCTATACTCCTCTTGATGAAACATCCCTGTGCACACCCTCGTGCCTTTGCTCGCATTAACTCTTCCAAAAGACTTCCCTCCTGTTCCCCGTTAATGAACGTCCTACCCAGTCTTCAACTCCCAGGTCAGGTCCTGTGTCCTACATAAAAAACTTTCCAGACAACTTCAATCTGTCCTCCTTCCAAATTCCTAGAGGCCTTAATTATTCATTCTAGTCACTAGGTGCATAGAATTTGAGATTTTTGTAATGATAGAAGTAGTGTGAACTCTAGAAATTAGAAAATCAAGCTTTGGGCCAGGCGCGGTGGCTCACACCTGTAATCCCAGCACTACGGGAGGCCGAGGAGGACGGATCACCAGAGGTTAGGAGTTCGAGACCAGAGTAGTCAACATGGTGAAACCCCGTCTCTACTGAAAATACAAAAATTAACTGGGCATGATGGCAGGTACCTGTAATCCCAGCTACTCGGGAGGCTGAGGCAGGAGAATTGCTTGAACTGGGGAGGCAGAGGTTGCAGTGAGCCGAGATCGCATCACTGTACTCCAGCCGAGGCAACAGAGTGATACTCTGTCTCAAAAAAAATAAATAAAAATAAAAAGTTTTGGTGCCTTTTCTCTCTCCTTTACCTGAGTGAATAATTGGTACCTGCCTTCTTTCTCCTTTTATGGTATCATAAGTGGCATGTATCAAACAAAACAGGGTAGAGGAGAATAGGTCTAATAGGGACAAACTTAAAAACAACATTATTTGGAAAGACAAGCCATGGGAAAGAAATATGGTGTTTCTATTTTTTTT